TGAATTTTTTTAAAAATAATTTATATAAATATATATACACAAAATAAGACATGCAATGGACTAATTTAAAACTGTATATGATGAAAAGTTCACTATTTTTGAATAATTTGGATTTTCAAAAATAAATTATTTAAATTATAAGTTAAAACAAATAAATTTCATCTCAATTTCAATTATATCTACCAAAAAAATCTTAAATCCAACCCAAAAATATCACAATATTTTGAAATTATACAAATTCACGTCTATGAGAATTTGATATTATGAACTTAAATTTTAATTTACGTCTTTGAGATTTAAAGATTGTAATTTAAAAAGAAAGTTTGGAGTTCGAAAGAAGTTAAGAGAATTGAAAATAGAAATGCAAACTTGATAAGAAACAAAAAATGAGATAAAAGTGAGTGGTTGTGGCATTAAATAATTTGGGTTAAAGAAAAATAATTCTTTTTTAACTTTTTCCAATTTAATGGGCAAAAAAAAAATTAAAAGATAGAAGAAAACATCAATAAATTAAAACTAATGAGGTTTGATTAAAAATGGAGTGACAAAAGAAAAGATGAGAGAGAAAAGAAAGAGTTGAAGATTAAAAAGAAAGAGTCATGAGAGGATGAGATTTTGTAAGAAAAATGAAAAAATGAAATATAGATGTTTGTTTTATATAAATAAGTTATCAAAAAAAGCAAATAAGATGTGATGGTGCAATAGTTACTACATTGGTTTTCTATTACAAAGGTTTTGAGTTCGCTTCTTGATAGAAGCATTTTGCAAAAAAAAAAAAAAAAAAGGAAAACTAAAAAACCGGTTCAATCCGGTTCAACACGGTTCACCGGTTTTTATCGGGTTTGACCGGTTTTATGGCAAAGTCAACCAGAGCATAGAACCGGACCAGTGCCATGGCCGGTTCGCGGTTCAACCGGTCGAACCGGCCGGTCCGGTCCGGTTTTCAAAACATTGCTATTTTGTCGTATGACTGATGACGTGTCAGAATGTCCTCCACGTCAGACCACTAGCCGTTTCCATGTGGGTCCCGTGGTAACACTCTCCGATTCTGACGCCGTTAATTTGGGGCTCAATTCGGATCCAACAGAAGAAGTGCCTTCACCGTCTATCTTGGTAACGTCCGTCAAATGAGGGGTCGTTGTCTTTTTTTTTTTTTTTCCCATTATCCACCTGTGCCACCAAAATTATATTTAAATGGTTTGGTAGTAGAAAAAACATAATAATTATTAACGGGAAAGTAACGGTAAACTATTAATAAGATTAAATAAAAAATCACTCTCCATAGGTAAATTTCGGAATAAAATTTATGAGGTTGACCCTTGAGGATTTCTATTATGTGTTGTTGCATTGATGCAAACAAAACTGTGACGGGTATTGCTTTAGGAACACTAAAATCCATTTTTACATTGAGAAACTATTCAAAGTTTATTACCTTAATATTATTGAGGGAAACAATTATTAGGATGAAAAAAATTCATTCCATTTATGTTGCTCAATATTCATGGTTGGTTATTGAGTAAAAGACATTTTGACAAAAAAAAAAAAAAATTGAGTAAAAGACAAAGGTCCCCCTTGTTTTTTGTTCTCGATTTGCCAGGTAATTGTGCTAGTACAATTTGCATTATCCAACGTTATTTTTTTTTGTCTCCCTTATGCTATGAGGTTTTACTTGTATCATATGGTCCATAGGTGGAGTCGTAAATTAGGTTAATGTAATTACTATTGGGATAAGAAAATATAGGGAAAAGTAAGGTGAAGATAATGGAATTCTAAGGAAGGTTCATCTAATGAATATAATAAGCACGTTATGATGGAGTTCAGGTGTTAATTTTATATAAAAAAATAGATTTAAATAAGAAAAATATAAATGTAAGAGAGAATCATAGTATTAATAGAATGGGTGTGACACAGACGTATTAATAGTAATAGACACGCGTTAAAAAATCTTTTCTAAGAAATTCACCGGATAACTGATGTCATCTGATATCACAACGATAATTATGATTATTTGGTGACCATAAAGTCTACGTGAACTGTTAAATGAGGTCTAATTTTCCTTATTAATTCAGTGAAGTTCTGTAAAGATTTCGCAAGGATGGTTGGCTTAATCACGGGAAAATGTGCTTGCATGGGAAAGATCAGCTGAACGGTTGATAAGCGCACATTAATCTGATTCCCGGGACTTTGACTAACATGCGCCAATAACAATGCTTTATTTAACCAATAACCTTTTTTTTTTCTTTTTTTTGGGGAAAGGTGTTTAGCCAATTACTGGGTCTGGGAAGCAAGATCTCTGTTAAAATCCCAAGGTGCATTGTAATTTGTAGGTGTTGCTGTCTTGGTTATGGTACTTTGTACCTGAGTCTTGACCTCTGCTGGCTTGAATATTGGAGATCTTCTACAAAATTACAAATATAAATGTGAATGGCAAATTCAAAGCATCAAATTGTCTTCCAAGAAAGGTACTGGCAATTCTAGCAAATATTCGCCATTGATGTAAGAAAATTTTGTTTCAACCAAAGGCATCATGCTAGCCTACCGAGATTAATTTAGTTTGTAAGACTCATTTGCCTTGTTTTAAGGAATATTCTCCTTGTTACTGATTTTTATTAGTAGATCATTTTTGTCAGAGCTACCCCCCCCCCAAACAACACACACACACAGAGAGTATATGTATATGTATATGTATATCGTTGAAAAACATGTTAACAGTCTATTCTGGCGTTAGGATGAGTAATTTTTGCCCATTATGCATGTTTATCTTTTTATTTTTCCAATGGAAATTAAGAGTTTTATTACAAAACCTAGACAAAACATGAGTTTGCTAAAGGCTTTTTCTTTTTTGCTCGTTAGCATCACTCACAAAAAATGACAATTAGATAATTATTCCAGCAACATATACACAAAAACGGAACTCTTTCTTTTAAAAATATTTTTTCTGACAAGGGAATGATGGGATTTAAGAAACGAGAAGAAGATAGGGGAATTTGAGTTTAGAATTTCTTATTCCTCAGGGTTCAACCTTCACAGAAATCGAGCCTAGAATGTTTATAACCCTGACTAGTTTGAAATCTTTACGTTTTGATTTCTATTTTTAGGAATTTTTACAGAAAATGTATTGTAACGATTTGATGTATATGAGATAAAAAAAACAATTGAAAAATACGTTTACGAAAAAAGTAAAAATTTTTTTGCTAAAAATCACAATCCAAAAAATGCGTCATCTCACAAAATTTTCAGTCTACAAATAATTATTGTTTCGCCATGTTAATTATTAGTATATATTAGACTTAGTTTGAACAAGTTTATCTCGTAGTTGCTAAAGAATGGCCCATGGTCTAAGTATAAATACACTTTTAAGTCCTTTAACTGAATTATAAAAAAAAAAAAAAGTCCTTGTATTGAAGCCAACATTAATATGGCAGATTAAATGTCAAAAAGTTAGGTATGCAACTTTAACATCTCCTGCAACATCTGTTACTGTTATTGACCATGTCAAGCACTGAATTGATTATGCTGAATAACTTACTGCGGCTGGAAATCTTCCTCAAGATATGTATAATACGAGGAAGAAAAATATATTATTATTATTGTGTAGGACCGGATGTTAAAATTTCCCGTGATAAGATTTCCCATAAATCTTGCATTCTATGTACTTTTGTGCACTTTTTTCTTTGTCTTTGACAATGTTGCCACACCAAAAAAAAAAAAAATGGTTTTCTTTTCTTCATTTTCGAGGAAATAAAGAAATTGGTTTACCGTTGCAAGAATTAGTTGTTGTAATTAATCATTGCTTCCAACTTTCTCGTGTAAGCGTTGAATTTTTGTGCCAACATGCTCAAGCATGCTCTCAAGTTGATTGAAAAGTTGCAGATGATAATTTGTCTTTAAATGAACCCAACATTTTTGCTAGACGTCACATCTGAAATGTATATTGTGAGATTATTTTTCTTTTTCTATTCTTCTACAATTAATTGTTTTTCTTCAGTTATAAGTAGTATGGATCATGGTAGCATGACAATAATAAGGGAAAGTATCTGTAAATTTATACGCCTAAAAGTTTTAAATAAGGAATAAAACAACGATAGATTTGAAAGAGTTGTTTATAACTTTGAAAGTTATAGTGTTGACAATCATTTTTTTAAAGTAGTATTTAAACAATAAAAATCTATTTATGCAACTCTAGTTATAGCATGAACTTTTAGTTAAGCTTTGCTCCCTATGTTAATATATTTGAGCACTTGCATGAATTGATAGATATTTTGTGATAATCACACTTGAAAGATGCTTAGTATGAACTTTTATCACAAATCATAGGGATTAGCTAAATGAAGACAGATAAAACTCTAAAAGTTTTCTCGAGTTTGTAGGGATAGGGTTCGAATTCCCCTATTTCTAACTTCCCTTGTTTTCCGGTTTCTCTCTCGCACTGAAAAATAAAATCCATTGAAAGAATGTCTGACCTATGCAATTTCCACAATTAAATGGACTCACTCTCAAGAAGGTCATTTTCTAAAAGAAAGAGGGGGTGACTGAAGTTAATTTTAGATTTATTTTGTCAATTCTCTTCAATTTCAAAGCCTTAAATATTTTTTTTTTTTTTGAAAAAATCGTTCAAAACGTCCCTCACATCATTAGATTGGTCTTGATCAATTACCATTCACACTTGGCAAGCTTCTTGCATGTTCAATACAAGATATAAACTATGCAGGCTTCATTTTCAAACATATACAAAAACCAAATCTTTATATGTTTAATACTATCCTGAGAGCCTATTCAATCAGTGAGAATCAAAAATAGATTTTTGTTCTTTTCAATTCCTTGAGGGCTCAAGAAATTGTGCTTGATGAATTTACTTTTGTCTAAGTTCTTAAATCTTGTTGCAAAAAGTTTGCCACTTGGACTGGCCTTGGTGTTCATTCAATTGTTGTGAAATCTGGGTTTCAGCTATTTTTGAATGTAAAGAATATGCTTTGCATTTTTACTGTGCCTGTCAGAGAATGGGGGAGGCCCGCAAACTGTTTGATGAAATTGTAGGAAGGAGAGACTTAATATCGTGGAACATTTTGATGGGAGGATATCTTTGTGCATCTCAGAATTATTTGGTTGTAGACTTGTTTAGGCTGTTATGTACCAGTGGTCAAATTGTTGGCAAGACCACAATCTTGAGTGTTATCTTGGTTGCTGGGGAACTGAATTGCGTTATGACAGGTGAGTGCTTACATGGATATTGCATAAAGTTTGGTTTTTGCTTCGATTTAAATGTGATGAGTGCTTTGATTTTCCATGTATAGTAAAATGGGCTGCATTGATTCTGGGAGTAGGGTGTTTGCTAACGTTTCTGCAGGAGATGTTGTCTTGTGGAATTGTCTCACAGATGGATATGCTAAAGGTGGCCTGCTAGATGAAGCATTAGATTTACTGGGTTTGATGAAGCTGGAAGAAGTAAAACCCAATGCATCAACTCTAGCAGGGTTGCTCTCAGCTTGTGCTTCATCTGGGGCTCTGGCATTGGTTCAATGTATACATGACTGTGTAGAAGAATTGCAGGAGTTTAGGAACCAAATGAAGAATTGTATTATAATTTAGGGACTAAAGTGATCTAATTTAGAATATAGGGATCAAAATTGGAATTGATGTATAGTTTAAGGACTATAGTTTAGAGACTAGGGTGTCTCAATTTAAAATTTAGAAATCAAAGTTGAAATTATAGGATAGTTGAAGGATGCAAAATGAAACTAATGATTTCAATAGTAAATGTGCATGTAATATGAATTCAAATTTGAAATTCAAATCATGCACGTGTGGCATACATGTAAAACTACTAAGAAAAATTCAATACACTATTAGTTCATAAAAAGTTAATTTATATGCTATTAATGCATAAAGAGTTAATCTATAAAATATTACAAAGTTTTTAAAACATCTTTCCTCTCCGTTTATTTATCCTTATTATTCACCGATGGAAACCTTTCAATAAGTAACAAACCATTGACTCACTAATGTATAGTTGCTCTAATCAACCACTGGGTCAATGGCTCAGTGGCCACCAGGGAGGGACTTAAGTCCCTTTTTGGGCTGTAGGTGAGGAACCCTCGCCTGCAGCGAAAAAAATCTAAGGATTGTGTCATAGTACTCTCTTGGTCTAGTTGGGTCTGTATACCCACTAGTCCCTACCACAGCCTCTTTAGGCTCCCCTTCCCCCTAAATTAGGATAGAGTAGGATAGAGTAATGCTTTCTTCTTCTTTTTCTTTTCGACAAGGATAATCTTAGGAACCTCCCTGAGATTTTTGACAATTTCACCAAGCTCCTCTAAAGTTTTTAGAATTACACTGACCTTCCTTTAGATTTGGAATTTGGTAAGAAAATCAGTCCATGTCAGAAAAAGTGAACATAAAAAAGTAATTTCAGAAGAAAGAAGGAAATTTGTTCCCACAAATGCCCTTTTTGAAGGCGTACAAGTTAATATTAGTAAAATAATGGAAACTAATAAAAGCCAGAAATAAAGTAGTAGAAGTGAGGGGATGTTTGTGAAATAAAGAAAAAGAGTCAGAAGTGGCATCTAACCATTTAAGCTCAAAGTTATAGCAACAGCTACTGCTTTCTTTTCGTACAAAAAAGGAAAAAAAAAAAAAAAAAAAAAGCTACTGGTTTCTTTTGCAACAGCTATATTTGAATGCCTTTGCAATAGCCTATAAAGTTATCAACCAGCATGATGAAACATCACATTTTCACTTTAAGCATCAACATTTAAGGTGGAAAAGAGTGATATATTGCAGCCATTTTGCAAGCTAAGATTGAAGGTGTAGAAGCTATGGCATCTTCAAGCTTGAGCAAGTAATCAAGGAATCAGGAATTTCATGCCTCATATGTATCATCGTATTTACATATCCAGGTATTTCACTTAATACTTTTCGGCAACTTTATATACCAAGTTAATGTACAAGTAGCCATTAGGATCAACATTTGGAATCCTCACTTTTCTTCCCTTGTAATGCACAACTATGTCATAAAGCACCACCAATGTTCACCATCCTACATTATTCACATTAATAGTTAAGTACTAACAATCATTAACATGATTATGTGATAATGAAACACTTTTAGTCAATAAAAGAAGAAAAAAAAGCACAACTTTGATTTCTAAAACTAGATTTGGCAGAATAGACAACTTATCTAACTACATGTACCAGAATAGGCAATTTATCTAACTATATTGTCTAGTTGTAGATTATCAAGTCATTCAACAACTATGATCAACACAATAGATGCTGATTTTTTGCATGCCTTCTAGCTTAGCAACCAACTAAGTTCATGGTTTTTGACATGTGGGATTTAATGTGAATCATGATGAACTCTGAAAATTTAATGTTTTGAAAGTAACATGTCATATTTGATCATATTACATTGAGAGATGACAGAGCTTGCATACCTTTTTTGTTGTTCTTTTTGCAATTTACAGTACTCCTTCCTTTTTCCTTCAAAACAACAAAATTAGAATGCTACCATCATTGCCTCACCAATTGGAACCAAAATTGCAGGTTTCTACAGCTTTCATCTTCTCCATGTTTCTCCTTAATTTTCTTTCTTCTCCTTGATGCCTTTTTCAAAATTGTAAAGGACTAATTTATTGTCCTTGTCCCTAATGTCAATCAACAAAATGATGCCATATTGGTGAATGAATTGGTGCCACTTCCTTAATTGCAGTTAGGGTTTTTGATTAGCATGATTCCAATAGTTATGTTCGTTAATGAATTTAAAAGATTTAATTTGTGCCCTAATGACTTATTTATCAGATTTTAGTCTTCTAATGACACATAAAGTCATGGGAATGATAGTAATTTCACACCATGTGATGTAAGCAATTGGGCTCCAAGTTTTGCTAAAGGAAGTCAGTGTAATTTTGAAAATCTAAAAGGAGGTCAGTGAAATTGCTAGAAACCTCAAGCGAGGTTTCTAAAATTATCCCTTTTTCGATTTGTACTTAAACTTTTATTTTATATTAGTCAAATAAGGTTTTCTAACAATTGTAATTAGTTTTGTGCACGAAATTTACACCAAATTTTCCATTTAAATACGTTGCCATTTACTACGTTTAAGGCTTTAATACATTACCTTTCTGTAAAATTTACACCTAATTAAGAACCCTTTAACTAGTGCTATCTATATTTATTATTTACTAGTAGGAAAAAAGGGTGTGCAAATTTTAAAAAAATATTAAGTTTTTATTAAATTCAATAGAAGTTTTTTTTTTCTTATGACTTTTTGTTACAAACAAATAGAAATTATTGTGTGTGGAAGTTGTTAGAAGTTACTAAATTAAGTAGTTATTCTCAGTAAATTTTTACTTTTTATAGGGATAAAATTAAAAATTCAAAAAATGACATAAAATTTTAATCTCAAACTTCCTCCTCATGCTTTACATATAGGAAGATTTTTTTTTGACTAGTTAACAAATATTCCCGTTGCTTACAAGGTCTGTTTGGTAATATGTAGGGGTGGCAATCGGGTCGAATTCGGGTTGGCGGGTCGGGTTGAGACCCGGGTATTAAAAAAAAAAAAAAAGCCCCGCTGACCTGAACATGACCCGCCAACCCGAAACGGGTCAAGATACCTGACACGAACCCGAAAATTTAGGGTTCGCGGGTCGACCCAAAATGCCCGAAATTTAATTTTAATTTATTAATTTATCACTATAATTTCTAATAAAATCAATTTATCACAAAACTAATTACATAATCAAGCAATAAAAATTTAAATAAATAATTTCAAACCAAATCTAAAATAAATTAAACACCGTAAAAGTGTTTTATTCCAAACAAAATATAAAATAAATTAAAACAGTATAAAAGTAAAAAATAATATAATATATTATTTGTCCAAATATAATAATTTCAACTTCATACAAATTAAATAAATTCATTTAGGATTAAGTAATTAATGTCTTTGAAAAAAAGAATAACTTAGTTTAGTTAGATAAAATAATTTTATGTTTATTAAATTATTTTTAATTCGTAAACAGGTCATATCAGGTCACCTACGGGTTGACCCGAAATCGACTTTTTTTTTTTTTTTTTTGGGTTCATCGGGTTCAACTCGATTCTGACCCGAACCCCCAAAACCTCAACCCAAACCCATTAATTTCGTGTTAGATTCGTGTCGTGTTTTCAAGTCATGTAGAAAATTGCATCCCTAGTAATATACAATTAACCCTTTCATTTCAGTTCTCGTTGAAATTTCGTGCAATTCGGTCTGATTATTGTACCTTCTACATTATTTAGTCTACAATTACTTTAAATTATTGTACTCAAAGTACAAATGCTACAAACGAATAAAATCTTACTATAAGATAAGCAAAGGTTCAAAGTTACTGAAGCAACTCCCTTTGTTGACACATGGCACTATAGGTGAATTTTGAGTTTTCTCTTTTGCTTTCTCTATGGACATGGCATTGTCTTATGGAATTGGCATTGTTTTATAAGGTTGACTAGGAGAGTAAGGTCTTCTACCTATGGTCATAAGATTGAAATATTTTTAAAAGACTTTTCAAACTCTAAAATTTGGAGAGATATAATTCAATTGCAATGTCATTTACATGATCATTTCAACTTATATTTGACAAATTAACTTAAGTTTTAATCAGATTACAATGTTATTATCATTATTATTATTTAAGTTATATTTATATTTATTTCAATATGAATTATCATTTAAAGTTATATTTGACAAATTAAGTTGCATTTGTTAAAAATCGTCGAATTGCATGGACTTTTTCAAATTATTATATTCTTTGACATTTTGTTATTTTGTTAATGTAACGAAAAAGATTATTTAAAACTAATTTCATCTTATCATAAATAAAAAGATTATTGCCGCTGCTTAATATAGTGTGCATTTTTATGTTTCAAATTTATTTTAATTTGTTCATATTAAAATATTTGGTAGCATTTGACTTTATGTTCATATATTTTTGTTATCAATTCTATTTTAATTCATTTATACCTTAATATGTGTTTTTTTTATTACAATTAATGTTTTCCTTTCTTAATCAAACGACTGCATTAATGTCTAAATGACAAAAATATGTGTATCTCTGTTATATTTCATTAAAATGCTTGTTTTCATGGTAACCATTAGATTTGCATTTTTTTTTCTTATTTTCTATGCTGTCAGATTATTAAATTATTCAATAAAGCTTATTTATTATTAGTTCTAATTTGGAGAGAAAAATGTTTTCCAAACTTATTGGATTATTAGATTATTCAACAGCCAACTTACAGATTGCTTGGTTCTTCTATTTTTCCTTTGCTTTGCTTGTAATAAGTCACAAGTCAAATAATACAGTCATTCTTCAACTATTCAACTTTTTCTTAATTACCTAACCAAATTAGATACTTATGTTTTTCTTCCAAGTTACGTTGTCCTTCACAAGAAAGTCAACTGTTTGATGAATTATCAATTGTACTTCATCTATTTATAACCATTAGATTGAAAGACAAAGTACTAGCTTAGTTTAAATTTCATAGACTACTTTTTAGATGAAATTATTATCAACAAACTAACCTTGAATAGTATAGTACATACCATTACATACACTACCAACCTTTATTGTGTTTCATTTCTTTCTTGTTTTATTTCCATCTCGTTCTCACATAGCAGAGAGAAAGCTTCCTTCACTTGCTTGTTTTCTCACGTTTGGTAATACAATTTTTCTTACTTTTCATTCCAACAAATCCATGCATTTATATCTTGCTATAGTAACATATACTTTCTTTTGCATGTTTTTTTTTCCTTTTGCAATATTACTTTCACTACTCAAGATTTTTGCTCTGCCTATCACTTTATTCCAAGTACTTACTTCACTTATTTTATTTATTGCAGTTAAACCTACATAAACCAACTGGAATTGCCACCACTTTTTCTATCTATTTTATTTATGTGTTAATACTTGCTTTTTATTACAACGAATTTTTTCGCTTTATTAACCAGCAATGCATTAAGATGCTCTTTATAATATATTTACACATGGCATTCAATTCATAAACAATCATTCAAATTTTGTTACCCTTGAACACTTTAGGGTACACACACCAGGCCTTACTAGTACTTGATATAAAATAAGGCAAAATGCCTAGATGGCCCTCGAACTATTTAAAAGTTCAAGTTTTGGCCCCCCCAACTATAAAATGAATGCTTTTGGCCCTCTATTAATTAAATGATATATTTGTGGCCCTTTTGTGAACTAGAGTCATTAAGTCCAACAGAAAGAGCAACATGTGCAAGGCACAAGGCATAAGTGAGGGCGTTTTTGTCAACATAAGTCACCAATAGAGTAAAACGATTCACTATCTGGTAAATGGCAAGTCCATTACCAAAATCCATATCTTACGCAAAAAAATCATCGATGAAAACCCAAACGACTCAACACAAAAAATTCAGATATAGTTGCCTGAAGGATCGAAGGTGTTTGCATGTAGAAGAAATCTTCAAATGTACGTTCATCGATAATAGATTGGAGGATCAGAAGAAGGGATGATTTCATTGAATCGTACATGGTGTATAGTATGTTGATCTTCAAGCTCTTACAACTATCTCTTTTGTCATTCGTATGTAGATCTGTTTAGTGGGTTGGGAACGACATGATGTATGGTGTTCATTGTGGGTGGGTTAGGGCTTAGGATTGCAAATATTAATCTGTACGGGTGGTATTAAAAGTGAGGTTTTTGGGTCCTAAAAATGGGTTTTGTTGTCAGCAATGACAAGAAATGTGGTCCTAACGTCTTTATTTAAATGGGCCAAGAAACAAGGTTTAAGATAATAGTGTATTTGTGTATTAGTAGTTGTTGATTAAAGTAAACATTTTTAGTCAATAACATTGGAATGTAGTTCATATATAGGGTTATTAAATTGGACTAGTTACTGATAACTCATGAATAGTAAATTGATTTGATTAAAAAATTTTTTTTTTTGCACATTGACTGCAGCACCTAGGTTCAAATGGTTCATTATAAGATACATCATGAGGGTAGAATTAGTTGGGGACAGTAAGTTAGCTATGTTGATAGGGAAACAGACTATGTGGATATATGCAATGTTGAGAGAAGGTCTATTCGTGAATTGAACAAAATGGTTGAGGAGCTAGGTCATGCTGATGCAACATTGATATACTATTATGTTGAACCAGACAAAGACCTATCAAATGGATTAAGGGAGTTATGTACTGATCAGCATATCAATATGTTTTGTGAATGGGCCTACACTTTTATAGTGATGGAGATGTACTGTAACCATTTAATAGAAGAAGAAATTGTGGAAGTATTTACACATGAATTAGCTCTTGAGAATGACATGCAAAGGAGAAAATCTGGGGTCTTGATTGAAAAGCTTGATGAGCAAGGCCATATTGTTAGCCATCCTTGTGTCTTGTCTTGATTTGGTGGCCAAGAGAAACAAATTCACTGAATCAGCTGCAAGTTCAAGTAGTTGGACGGAAAAGGTCCTAGCAATGATGCAGCTGGAACTAGTACTCAACAGATTCATGGTGATGCTGGTAAAGAAGCAATTCCTAACTATGTACAGCCTATAGATAGACAAAACAGTGATGCAGCAACAACAAGTACTCAATAGCCTATTGGTCGTGACCAACAATAGTTTCAAGATAAAATTCACATTGAGGATGCTTTGGACTCAAAATCGGATGTAGAATTCAATAGGTTTAGTGGTGGTGTAGAATATTGTGGTGATGAACAGCTGCTAGAAGATCTACTTGATAGCTAGGTTACAGAGTAGCCACACTTGTCACTTAAGACACTAGCAAGTTCAAAAACCAAGCAGCAGCAACAAAGACTTGGAAGCCAACAAGCTGATGCAGATGTCCAAACCCAAGAACCAATGTTTGAAAGCCAAGCATCTCAATAGCCTATAGACAAGAAAAAACAAGTGAGAAAGAGAAAATCTAGACTAACACAGCAACAGCCAGCAAGAGAACGAGTTGAGAGCAATCCATTGGATGAAGATTACATAGCTGATCATCTAAACAGTGATATTGGATCATCCGAGGGGGAAGATGGGTATCAATGGATATATAAGGACTTTTCCATGAAGCAGTTCAAGGCTGACCCCAAGTTTGAGTTGGGAATGAAATTTGAATCAAGAGCCCAATTCAAGGCTACTGTTAGAGAGTATGGTATCAGATTGGGAAAGCCAATATGGACCAAAAAAAAGAGCCAAAGATAGTGAGGGCCAAATACAAAGAACCCTATCAATGGTTTGTCTTTGCTTCGATAGAGAAGGCACTTGGAACAAATGATCTGGTGGTGAAAACAATGAATGATATGCATGAGAACCGCAATCACGCTTGGAAAAATAGGAATTTAAATGCCAATGGTTGGTTGATAGGTATGTTGAGAGGATAAGAACAAACCTTCACATGCCAATTAGGAAGTTAAGACAATCAGTGCACAAAGACTACGAAGTAGATGTATCTAGATGAGTTGCTACTGAGGCAAAGGCAAAGGCAATTGAGCTGGTAAGGGGTTCTGCTAAAGCACAACACTCAAAAATCTCGGAGTATTGTGAAGAGATAATGAAAACTCATGCTAGTGGTATTATGGAGGTGATGTTTTCTCCATTTAGAACTCCTAGAGAGAATCCTAGATTCATGAGATTGTATTGTTGTTTGAGGCCAATGAAGAAAGGATTTCATGATGGTTGTAGACCAATAATAGGATTGAATGGTTGCCACACTAAGGGCTCCTATCTAGGGCAATTATTGGAAAAAAAAAAAGCAACTGAGCAGTAGAGGTGATTCTTGACACTTTTGAAGGTAACTTAGAAATTAACAATCAATTCCACTACACATTTATTTCTGATCAGCAGAAGGTATGCCATTTATTGTATCATAACTATTAGTTTTTTTTTTTTTGCAAGCCACAGTTATCCATTTGTTTGTTCTTGCTATAGGGGTTGGATAGAGCACTTTCTGGCATGCTTCCGAACTCTGAACATATCTACTACATGCAGCATATGTATAAGAACTTAAAAAAAAAACATCCTAGACAAGGCTTAAAGGATAGAATTTGAAATATTGCTAGCAGCACTGATAAGTGAATATTTAACGTACATTTTGTATGAATTTGGCATGAATTTTTGGTATGTTTTGAGAAGATTAAAGCCATATTTAAACTCTTTTGGTGATAATTGCTTAAATATTGTTTAAGAGTTAAGAAATTGATAAATGAGTGATTAATGCGTAATTTTGTGAAATTGTGAAGGTAATTGATGTATGAAATTCATGCACAAGTTGAAAGAAATGTCAGGGTCATCCAGAGGACAAAGTACACAAGAAAGTGGGAGCAAAAATGTAGAAAAAGGGAAGAAGTGAAAAATGGAAAAATGCTCAACACGGATCCGAGCTCGGATCCGTGTGTACAAGAGGGATCCGACCCCTCGTCTGTACTTCTGGCGGAGTGTATCCGAGGTCAGGACGATCCGACCTCGGATCCATCATGGGAAGGCCTCGGATCCTATAATCCGAGCTCGGATCCATTATCACTCCTCGGATCCGAGGCTCGGATCTGTCTCTCTCCTCAGCAAGTGGCACAGCCGTTTTTCTTTACCTTTCTCACAACTTTTACAGCTATTTTGAGGGACAGAAATCGGTGGCACATGCTTCTGCAATAAAAGAGAAGACCAAATGAGTGTGGACAAAAGGAACATCATATCTTTGACTTCTTTTTACAAAATCTAAGTGGAGGAAATTATGAAGTGAGAGGAATGGAATTTCTACCACCTTTTATGCAGAAACACAAGGGAGAAGCAAAGATAACCATACGTAGCTAGTTTTCCTTCTTGCAACAAGTTTTCTCTCTAGATAGGAGTACTTGGAGAAGCATTTTTTGGAGAGTTTTCACTTGTAATCATATTGTGCAAGAACATAGCAGGAATTGGAGAGCTTCACCTTCAATTGGCTAAGCTTTCTTTTATCTTTCTTATACTTGTACTTTATGATGTTTTGCATTAATAAACTTGTGAATTTGATTGTTAAATCATTCATGAGTAGCTAAACTCCTTCATCTAGGGAGTAGATGAAACTTATGGCTAAATAATACTAATTGAATGTGATTTACACTTGTTATATCTTGAGTTAACTTGTCTACTTGTGTAGCTGTGATTTCTTGTTATTGTTTGATCACCAATAACTTGTTTACAGTTGTTATTGTTCAATGAGAATTGGTAATAACAATGGAAACACATGAGTAGAGCTTGAGTTGTATGTTCATGAAAATAGAAATACACTTAAGTGGATTACTTAGTATTTCATGAATTAAAACAGAGTTGTAGTAGTATTTCACCATGGAAATAGGGAAATCTATATTGCTCTAAGCCATTTCATCATGGAAATGAGACTTGGTAATCTTGGAAATAAATCTCTGGTTGAGCAAGAATAATAGCAAGAAGTAAATCCATTTATTTGTGTAGTTTATGCCATAAGTGGAATCTACATCCCTAGAATCTTCATTAAGTGAAATTTCTCTATTTGCATTCAGCATTTGTTAAACTAGATTTGTATATCAGATTTGTAGATTACAACATTAGATTTTCTCTGCTCAAAATTAATGGTAAGTCTAAATAATAGAGAGAACAGGGGCTTAGTAATTGTTTAAATTGCTCCTCGTGGGATCGACCCGATACACATCTTGTACTAAAATTTCGACCTGTATACTTGCAGTCCAACGGGTGTAAAATCGGAATTAAACTTGCATTGATACAAAAAGAACCCGACCAAGCACAATAGTCCCACATTACAATAAAGCTATGGATGACTTGGAAAAGTATGATAAAGAGGCCTTATAGTGGGTCAAGAATGCTCCACCTCCTAGACACTGGTGCAAAGCTGTCTTCCCTACTTACACAAAATCTAATATGCTAGTAAATAATTTGCATGCGTCATTTAATGCACACATTTTGGAGGCAAGAGAATAGTCGATTATATCAATGCTAGAGTCAATTAGAATTAGAGCGAATTGCGCGAAATGTCACTAAACTATTTCAAAGTGCCGGCTCTGGTCACTAAACTTTTTATTAGAGTGAAATGTCACTGAACTCGTAAGTCTGTACCGTTTTGGTCACTCCGTGTATTTGTGCCGTTAGAGAGAGACGGAAATCAAATTTTTGAGGGGCAAATTCGTCTGCACAGCCTTTTCTCCAACCTAAATTGTTTGCAGGAGGTGGGTTAATTCATAAATCTACAAACACAAAGAACTGTGGAAATGGGGGAGATAATGGGATCTTCTTCGAGGTCATGGAGGGAGGAGTTAGCTAGTTTAGTTGAAGATACTGGGATAAGATTCAATGGCGAAGTAATTGGAATTTCGACGCCAGCATTTGAGACCAAGAAATTTGGGGTTGATTCATTCGGGAATGAAACATCGGCGGAGCCAGAGAGCTTCAAGGATCAAATCAAAGGTTTTGCCAACGCTTGGGGCGAAATGGTGGTGGAATTTGGCAGAGGCTGTAAGGATGTATTTCAAGAGACCTTATTGACTAATGACTCCTAGATTGTCAAGAAAACTAGAACCCATTTGCAGGCACGAGAACTTGAAATTCAAATAACAAAAATCTTGCAACTTCGAATCACAGGAGCTGAGAACTCTACTTGAATGGTTCACCGAAGAAGATGTTAAGGAAAAGGCCTCAGTATCTGCTCTTGCTAGTGGTGATGGTGATGATTTCAGATGGTGGTGATTATTTGGAGAGAGGGGAAAAAAGGAGGCTGGGTGATTTGGATGTTGATTATAAGAAGGAAATATAACTAAAAAGTGTCGTTGATGCTGATGATGTTTGAGGTGAAGGTTCAGAATGATCTGGAAATGAATAATGGGATCTGCAAATATCTTCCAAGAAGGAGAAGAGCTAAGTCTCGGAAAATTTTGGGTGAACCCGGTCTACAGGCCCACCGGTAGACTGAGTGACTTAGAATTTGCCATGTCATCATTAGACCTCCTCCTCCTAAACAGATAGCCTGCACAGAGTTGCATTCAGCCGGTCATGGAAGTCCGCAATGGACTTCCCACCCGCTATCCTCAAAATTCATCACAATCTTTCTACCTATTACCACCTTCCAAAACAAACGTATCCCTTAGATCAGAAATCATGCCAAAAACAAATAAATTTGGATTCTTTACACCAATTTCAATAGGTTCATCAGATCTTATGTTCTTCAATTAGTTGAAACTATTGAAAATTTCCTCTGCTCTATTTCTTGACCATCTCTCCAAAAGCTCAGCAATTCCTTTTCAGAATTCCTTTTCTTCACAGCCGGGCTTCAAGAAAAGATAAGTATTTTAGATTCATAAACACTTCTTTTTTCAAAACCCTACTGTTGTCCCTTCATTTACCAGATGAAATTTTCCCCACTAAGGCTGTGGAGA